GTAGATCTTAAATGTTTCCACCACAAAAAAAATTGATCTAAAAGGAAAACAATAACTATGTGTGGTAATGAATTTAAAAAAATGAAAAGAATTAAAAGAAACCTGAAAGATGTTATTTGCAAATACAGTGAAAGACGTTATTTGCAAATTACGTATCCAACAAAGAACTCAAATAGAGTACATAAAAAACACTTAAAATTTAACAATGAAAAACAAATATTCCATTATCCTTGAGTGAATACCCAGAAATTGAATTGCTGAATGATATGGTAGTTCTATTTTAATTTTTTGAGGAGCCTCCATACTCTTCTCCACAGTGGCTGCACCAGTTTGCATTCCCATGAAGAGTGCATGGGGGTTCCTTTTTTTCCATATCCTTGAAAAGACTTGTTGTTTCATGTCTTTTTTATTTTAGTCATTCTGACAGGTGTGAGGTGATATCTCATTGTGGTTATGATTTGCATTTTCTTCATGATGAGTGATTTTGAGCATGTTTTCATGTGTCTGTTGGCCATTTGTATGTCTTCTTTAGAAAAATGCCTATTTAGGTATTCTGCCCATTTTTAATTGGATTATTATTTTCCTTTGTGTGTTGAGTTATATAAGTTCTCAATATATTTTGGATATTAATCCAGTTTGAAAAGATATATGTACATCTATGTTTATTGCAGCATTATTACATTAGCCAAGATACAGAAGCAGCCCAAGTGTCCATCAATAGATGAATGGATAAAAAGAGATGTGGTATATGTATACACAATGGAATGGTACTGAGCCATAAAAGAAAATGAGATCTTGTCATTTGCAATTACATGGATGGACCTAGTGGTATAATACTGTGAAATAAGTTAGACAGAGAAAGACAAATACCATATGATTTCACTCATATGTGGAATTTAAGAAAAAAACCAAATGAACAAACAGAGAAAAAGAGACAAAAAGGAAAAATAGTCTCTTAAATACAGAGAACAAATTGGTGGTTGCCAGAAGGGAGGTTGGGGGGCAGTGGGTGAAATAGATAGGGAAAAGGGCATTACGAGGTACAAACTTCCAGTTACAAAATAAATAACTCATGGAGATGAACAGTACAGCATAGGGAATATAATCAGTAAGACGGTAATAACATCGTTTAGTGACAGATGGTGACTACACTTACCGTGGTGAGCACTGAGTAACGTATGGAATTGTTGAATCTCCATATTGTACACTCAAGACTAGTATAACACTGTATTTTAGTTATACTTCAGTAAAAAAATAAAGACAAACTCCTCATAAAAAAACCCCCACAAATAGTCCATTTAGAAAATGGGCAAATGAACAGACATTTCACCAGAGGATGGCAAAAAGGTACATGAAAAGATGTTCAACATCAGTAGCAATTAGGGAAATACAAATTAATACCAGGATTACATACTACTACAAATGTATTAGAAAAGCTAGCATTAAAAACCATGACAATGTCAAAAGCTGATGAAGAGAAACCAAATCTCTCATACATTGGTGAGAATGTTAAGTGGTGCAGGCGCTCTGAAAAATAGTTTGGCAATTTTTTTAAAAGCTAAACTTATGTATATCATACAATTCAGAAATCACCCCTCCCCAGGCATTTATCCAGAGGGATGAAAACTTATATCCACAGAAAAATCTGTACACAAATATTCACAGCAGTTTTATTTGGAATAACCAAAATCTAAAAACAACCAAAATGTTCTATAATATGTTAATGGTTAAATAAACGGCAGTACATTCGTACCATGGAGTACAACACAGCAACAAAAGAAACACCTATTAGTAGATGCAGTGATCTCACAAGGGTCGTATACTGTATGATTCCATTTATATAACATTCTCAAAATGACAATATCAGAGCAAGAACGTTGGAATGTTGGGGGAGTAGGAAGCTGAGTAGAACAAGGAAGATCTTTGTGGTGACTGAATAGTTCTGCATATTGATTGCTTACACTAAACAACACCTGTGATAAAATGACATAGAGATATACATAAACATTGTACCAATGTCAGTTTCCTTGTTTTGACATTGTACTATAGTTATCCAAAATGTGACATTTGGGGAAATTGTGTGAAGGATACACAGGATTTCTTTACTATCTGCAACTTCCTCTTAATCTATAATAATCAAAATAAAATAAAATAAACAAATAAAGACAGTTATAGCCAGAAGAAGTATGTGTTTGGTGAGACAGTTCTCCCTGGTGCAAGGAGCAATGGATTTGGAGTCAGTAGACTAAAGTCCCATTCGTGGCTCCATGGCCTTAAGAAAGTCAACTGACCTGTCTGAGCTTCAGTTCTGTTCCATAGAACGGTCTTTATCAATTTCCTAGCCTAAACTTCAGTCATTTGTATATCATTTTACAAACTTACATACTGCTATATCATCTATAGTTTGTAGTATTATTTAGTTAATATTTTTTATAAAAACCGACACAGTCCATTTACTTAAACTCATATTTGGACCACATCTTAAGTGGTTTCCTGTAAAATCACCAGATCAAGGGCTAGTGACTTTTTTTGTCAAATAAGCATTAAAATAAAAATTTTTAAAAACATACACTTATGTTTGCTACTTAAATTGTCACTCACACTGCCAATGACATGGGTCACACATTTCAGGAAACACTAGTTTAGCCCAAATACTTTACGTTACAGATGAAGAAAGTGATATCTCATAGACAAAAAGAAACAAAAGTTCAGATTTGAAAGATCTCTTAAAATGTAAATCACAATTCCCTATCACATATCAAGTAGAGTCCCAAGTCCTTAGTAGGCCCTGTCAGTCCTGATGTTGTGTAGCTCTGCCTGCTTCCATGGTTTCAGTTTCTCTTTTCCTTTCCCTCACTCACTGGACCCCAGTCATACTTGGCTCTTTGCTCTTCCTAAGAGACCTATCGCTTTCCTTCCTCAGAGCCTTTGCTCTTGCAGTTCTTTATGCCTGGAAGATTCTAGATATCCATGTAGCTCACTTCCTCCATACATTTAGGTTTCTACTCGATGTCACTAACTCAGAAAGTCCTTCCTTGGTTAACCTGTTCAAAATAGACATCCCCCCTCACATGTACATGTACATCATCTTATCCTCCATCCCTTACCCTGCTTTAGTTTTCTTTATAAGCACTGTCATCACCCGCCATTATGAGTTTTGTCTCCCTCCCTAATCAGAATGGCAAGACTTTGCCTTCTTCTCTTCTTAGACCCAGTGCCTAGAACTGTGTCTAGTGTAGAGATCCATATCAGCCAATTCACCAGTCCTCCCTGCAGAATCCAGGAGAAGTGGTCAGGCAGACTCCACGCGTAGTATTTGGACACCAGGAAACCACCACATCTCCCAGACAGTCCAACCATTTTCAGATGGTTTCAATCATCAGAAGTCTTTCCTATTAGTTAAAAATCTGCCCCGCTGCAATTTCCACCCAAGACTTGTAGTTCTGCCCTCTAGGCTTGCACAGATCATGTCTTTCAGGAGATAATGACTCTACCTCTCGTCCACCCATCACTGCTTTTCAGGTTAATAGGTCTCTCTTTCCATCATTACTCAGGCATAATCCTCTGGGATGATAGAAAGATGTGCTTGGGGAGCCTGGGTGGCTCAGTTGGTTAAACATCCAACTCTTGATTTCAGATCTCAGATCCTGAGATCAAGCCCCACGTTGGGCACTGAGCTCAGTGCAGAGTCTGCTTGTCCCTCTCCGTTCCCCCTGCTTGCTTTCACGAACTCACACTCTCTCTCTCAAATAATAAATAAAATCTTAAAGAAAGAAAGAAGATGTGCTCTTGAGATAAGTAAGCCAAACCTGAATCCAGACCTTACTCCTAAGCACTATGTAACCTTGAGCAAATTACATTTGCCTATCAGGGATCCTGTGAGAATTCCGGGGGTCATGTATGGAAAGTGCTTATCATAGCTACTGACAGACAGTGAGACTTCAGTGGGTGGCTTCATGCTTACTGCTTTCCTGGAGAATGGACTGCTTGGCTATCAAGGGCAAAACAGATTTCCTGCTATCCACCAGGCTTTCCCTAATACCTGCCAACTGGAGGAAGAAGAGAGTAGAAGAGCACTGGGCCCATCTAAAGGTATAAAATGACCATACAACAGACTAAGGACCCCAAAAAGAAAACCCAGTGGACTCACAGATACACTTCCTGATGGAGCCCAGGCAGTAACCCCTTCTATACCCTCTTTGTTGGAGAACCTGCAGGAAACATTTCTGCTGTATTCCTTGAGGCTGGAGTCCAAGAATGTCTCAGTTGCAGCCAAAATTAAGGGTTTAGAGTAAGATATAAGGAGTAAATGCATAGTTAAAAAGAGCTGGATGATGAGCTGTGTTAGGAGGGTCTCCGTCTGTTTCTTTCTTGCTCGCAGTATGACCCTGGGCAATCCTCTTCCACTCTCTGAGTCTGCATTTTCATCGCTGAGAAATACCATTTCTAAGATCTATCAGTATATGAGTGAGTACCCTACATGCATTCGTTCATTCATTGCTTTCAACAAATATGCACTGCACACTCTGGACATAACAGAAATTACAGCCAGTCCCTACCTTCAGGGGCTTAGTGTCGGTTAAAAGTTGCCCTTGACAGTGTCAGTCCAGTAGAGAAGATGAACTAGAAAAATACTTAGTTCCAACTCAACATGAAAAACATTATGACAGAAAGAAGGAGGCAGGGCGGCTGTAAACATAAGGGAGGGGGCTAAACTTCTCAAGGAGAGGAACAGGAAAGGCTTCTTGGAAGGTGGGTCCATTCTTTCCGCAATGCCAGAGACTTGTGGCGGGCATGTAGAGCCTCTGCTAATGTCTTCCACCTTCCCAGATGATGTCTCGAGAAGGACTCTGAATATTGGATCATCAATTTATGTTGCTGACCCACAAGCTGATGGGTGGTGGAGCACTCTGCCCTTCTCTGATTTATTGTCCATGACTCAGCCTTAACCAAGACAATAAAATGCAGAGTGAAGACGAGCCTTTCCTGGCACATTCAGTATGCTGCTGGATCGTTCCTCACTCCTCTCAGGATACATTAAACTCTTGTTCCTGACCTTAGCTGTCCTTGTGCTCCTGGTTCAGGCTTCCCCAGGTAACCAGACAATGGAGAGGAGGGAAGAGGGAGTGAAAATGGGGTTCTAGTCATAGAATCATTGGAAAACTGAACATATGTGGCAGTGAGGACAACCCATAGAGATGACTGAGATCTAATGAAAAGCCGTATAATGAATATGCCCGGTAATAAGGGCAGTCTGTCATTCCTGACTACGATGGTGTTTTTCATGATGGCAAATACTGGCAGAGCCTAAGGTTTCTTGTATGAAGTCCCTTCCATATGCAGAAGCAACTGCAGCATCCCTAGTGTCCTTAATATCCTTGGCCCAAATGTCAACAGGGTCTCTTCCCTCCATCTCTCACTTCAACCTACTTCTAACTGATACCACCTCTGGCAGTAACCAGTCCCATTACTTTACCTCTCATTGTTATATGGTTTTGAATGTTCCTTTAAAGCAATCAGAAGAGGCATCTTGCTCTTGTCTTAGAATATGTAGTGAAAAATTTGTAGGTTGATGTTGGCTATCTAGAGGTTTGTAAAAAATAGGCTCAAGGTGTCGAGCTGGGGTTAGGGCAGAAGATTCTGAATTCCAGACTGAACATGACCATAGCTCTGTAACAATATGATAGGTTTTATGGCTGAATGGTGAATGACTTTCTGATGGAAATGTTTTCTGCTTAGGCTTCCTGGGCGTTCTAAAGTTTATGATTATCAATTCCATGATTTCCCTCTGGATCATTGCTGCTGGAAGTTGCATCCTCTCAGATCAGCTTTTCAAACTGAAAGTCTTTGTCAATCACTCAGTTGTTCTAGAAGCAAAAGAAGATAGTTCTGGGCTAATCCTGAGTTGATTTCAACTTGTCTTAAATTCTGGTAAGGGCAAATTAGTTTTGAGGAGGGAGTTGCAGCTGCAAAAGACATTTTGGGGGAAAGAATCTGCACATTGATTCATGGAATCAGAGTCAGATTTTTCCAGTCTGAATGTCCTGGTAAGAAAGAGAGAATTGGGAATTATCTCCCAGGAGGGGAGTTTGGGGAAAATCCTACTTAAGTAGAGAAAATCAAGATACTATAATCTCTCAAATGAACCCAGTGTGCTGGGGAAGCTGTGTTTTATAGATCTAGATGGGGCTGAGTCACAGTGTCTTATAAGGGCAGAGTTTTATACCATCCAGAACATCAGCCTGCAGGTCGACAGTATAAATTAATCCTTCAGTGTTCAAAGTCCTGTTCTAGGGCATCATTTGGGGCATGCAATTAGAACAGTGCCTGGCACATACTCTGGTGCTCAACAAGTTGCTGTTGAGTGAATAATGAATTGAGAGGGGAAAAAATAGATAATTGAAGGTATAGGTCCAAGAACCTAGATTTGGGGGACAAGGAGGAACCAGTGTTGGCAAGACTGAAAAATGACAAAGATGAAAACATCACAAGCACAGAAATAAAGTCCAGTTAGAGCTGGTTGAAGGAAGGGAGATAACTATTCATATCTAGTACATTTCAAGACCAGCATTAGGCATTCTACATCCACAGATTTATTTAATTTTCCCAAGAATGCCATTACATTTCAGTAGTTCATCCTAACTATTATTACTACAATATACAATACAATACTAACACCCTTAGTATTATAGTCTTTACTCTCTTTTATGTATTTGTTTATTCATCTTTTTGGGGTTTTTTTGATAGATGGCTGGATCAAAAGATGCAGTTATAGAATTGGCAGCTGCAGACAATCTTGCAAAGAAAATGAGAAAAAGAAAGAAAAATGTGGGGCAAAAAAATTGGCTGCATCCCTGATGTAAAACATTTACCCTCATACCCTGTTGAGAAACAACAGATGACATGTGAGGCTAAGGCAAGAACAGCTGAGCGTCCATAAAACTCCTGACACAAGACTTTTAACAGCCAGAATAATGAGTCGGTGAAGTGGCTGTCTAGGGCACCTGCATGGTCCTTAGATCCTTAGACACCTGCAGGATCTTCACATGGTCCATTAAAGAAAATATGCTCATTCCAGCTCTCATTATATCCTGTCTCTCTAATCCTCTGTAGCCTGACATTGCTAGGTTGTGTCAGGACATGACTGATGTTCTTTGGTTTTCACTGTAAGACTATTTTATAGGACCTACATCCTGAATTCCTAAGTCTCTGACCAGGTGCTACTAGGTCCCTCAACGTGGAAGTTTTCCAGGCTAATGCAGATTCCACCTTGGCCACACCTTATCTAAGACTCATCCTAGAATCTTGAGATAGGCCAGTGTGGTCCAGAGGTCTTTTGCCTCTTTAGCTCAAGGTTCAACCCCAGGCTCTGCCTCATGGGCTCACTTCTGGAACTTACCCCTTACCCCAATTCCTTAATCACACTTAGCTCTCCAAAGATTGGCATGCCCTCTGACCAGGAAGCAACCGTTGCCACCCCACCCAAATGGAAGGGGAAAACAGTAAAACAAAACAAAGAACAAACAAAAAAACCAACCAACCCCCAAAAACAAAAAACAAACACCTCCCAACCTCCACATTTACTGAGAATTTACTTATTGTGTGCAAAGCCTTGTCCTAAGTACTTTACGTACCTAATCTCCTTTTTTCCTAACAGCTCCATGAGGTTAGAATTTAGTATTATGTTCTTTTGCCAGAAGAGGAAACGAAGTCACAAAGAGTTTAAGTGACTTGACCCAAGTACCGTTGGCCACTGATCTAGTCCTGCTGGTTCAGTAGCAAGACTTTGAACCCATGATGCCTGAGTTCAGATGTTATGCTTCCTCAAAGCGGAAAATTTGCTGCAGTGAGAGAAGCTCACTGTGCTCTTCCCGCCCAGAACCGACGTCCTTAATGCGGAAGGTGTGGCGAAAGGCAAAGCCTTGTGAGCCTCCTTGTGGTTAAAATGTATAACAAATCCAGCCCTAACTTGTATATCCAGGCACAAACAGAAGTGATCCCAAGTTATAGTTAAGGAAGGAGTTGTTCCCACTTAGTAGACAGTCTTAGTTCAGAGACCAATGACAGTCAGGTCTAATGGTGAAAATTATCCCTTGCCTCTGTTGACATAATTATCTGGAGGACACGGTCTGAAGACAAGGTGCAGCAATTCTCACAATCATGACAGCTTCTAACCATTCAACCCATTTCTCAAAGTACTTTCATATCAGTTTCCTCATTTCCCCCCACTGTAATACCACCATATAACATTCATGTCCCAAACCTTAGAAGATGTCCTTAGGATATCTGGAGAATGGATCAGAGACTGGGTCTCCAATTACCTAGGCACAGTGATGCCACGTAATATTTCAGCTTCAACCTTGACCACACCGACAGCTGCAGAAAAGCCTGAGAAGCCACCTGTTCTTGTACAAGTTTTTACGTATTTTTGGCTAGAGAAATTATGCTTACAAATGGACTCAGGAGTCTTAGAGAGTTGTGTAAACATGCCTCCAGACCATAGTCCCAAAGAATTGAAAAGGGTGCAGGGGGAATTCAAATGCACTTATAATAGTATGTGACTATGTCATCTTACCACTCTGAGCCACATTTTGCCCATCCGCAAAATGGAAGTGTTGGACTAGATTATAAACTCCGTATGCCTTTCAACTCTTAAAGCCTTCTTCATTGTTTGTAGTGAAAATCCATTCTCTACCTATGACTTCAGATGCCACTTTAGAAAGCAAAGGCATGGAGGACGAAGAGACTGATAAACAGGAAAGTGACCTCCACCTAAGTACTCAGACCATAATCCTAAAATATATCTTAGGGACCTTCTTGTTCCTCACTGCCCCCCCCACATCATGTTGGCCACAAAAACCTTCCACATCTGCCTCCATAGCACCTGTTTTTCATCCCTGCCTCTGCTATTCTGATTCAGCCATCATCTTTTCTTGCCCATTGTTATTGGCTGACTGTGTCCCCTTAAATTCATATAGTCAAGTCTTAATCCCCAGTACCTCAGAACATGACTGCATTTGGAGATAGGGTCTAAATTTAAAGAAGCAATTAAATTAAAGTGAGATAATTAGGGTGAACCCTAATCCAATATGGCTGGCATTCTTACAAGAAGAGGAGATGTGGACACAGAAGAAAAACCGTGTGAGGGTACAGAAAGAAGACAGCCATCTACAAGCCAAAGACCAAGGCCTCAGAAGAAATCAACCCTGCCAACACCATTCTACCTCTGAAACTAATTATAAAAGAAAGAAAAGAAAAGAAAAACCCTGCCAACACCTTGATCTCGGACTTCTGGCTTCCAGAATTGTGAGAAAATAAATTTCTGTTGTGTCAGCCCCTAAGCCTGTGACACTTTGTTGTGGAGCCCTGGCAGATTAATATACACATACTGTAACATGTACACCCTACCTGTCTCTTTGTCTGCCATCACGCCTTTGACTCACTCCACTGTTCCCATACAGTTGCTGTGGATCATTTCTAAAACCCAGATCTGAAATTTTATTTTTCCTTTCAAACTTTTCAAAAGCTGTGCACGATGATTACAGAAATCAATTCTCAGCTTCCTTTATGATAATCCCTGTTCACCTCAGTACTCTCCCTTTCCATTCCCACCATGGACCTCACAGACAACTTGTGTTCTTTGAGATTAACGTGTTTCTTGCCCTTTTTAAAATAGGCTTCCCCTTTTGCTGGGAAGGTTCTTCTTGCAAAACAAACATATACTTCTCTGTAAGTTTCACCTAGTCAGTACTTCTACCTGCCCTAAGCCATGTATATTCATTTATTCCTTCTTTCCCAGCCCAAAGGGATCCGTTTTTTAATTTACTTTAATTTTTATTACAAATACAAATTGCTTGTATTTAAGGCATACAATGTGATGATTTAATATACGTATACACACTCAAGTTAATTTAACACATCTGTCACCTCATAGTTACCTTTTTTGTAGATAAGGACACTTAAAATCTACTCTCTTAGCAAATTTCAAGTATACAGTAAATTTTTTAAAAAGATTTTATTTATATATTTGAGAGAGAGAGAATGAGAGATAGAGAGCACGAGAGGAGGGAGCGTCAGAGGGAGAAGCAGACTCCCCGCTGAGCAGGGAGCCCGATGCGGGACTCGATCCCTGGACTCCAGGATCACGACCTGAGCCGAAGGCAGTCGCTTAACCAACTGAGCCACCCAGATGGCCTACAGTAAATTTTTAGTAACAACAGTCACCCTGTACGTTAGATCACCAGAACTTATTCCATAACTGAAATTTGTACCCTTTGACCAATATCTCTCCATTTCATGCCCACCCCCCTCCAAGACCTGGCAAACACCTTTCTGCTCTTTTTTGTGAGTTCAACTCATTTAGATTCACCATGTAAGTGAGATCACACAAGATTTGTTTTCTGTGTCTGGTTTATTTCCCTTAGCATAATGTCCTCCACATTCATCCAAGTTGTCCAAAATGGCAGGATTTCCTTCTTTTTAACACTGAATAATATTCCACTGTATATATGTGTACTTATATATATACATGTGATATATAGAGTTCAAATTTTCTTTATCCATCCATCCATTCATCCAAACACTTAGGTTGTTTCCATGTCTTGGCTATGTGAATAAAAATGCAGTGACCAAGGGACTGCAGTTATCTCCTCAAGATACTGTTTCATTTCCTTCAGATATATACCCAGAAGTGGAATTGCTGGTTCATAAGATAGTTTCATTTTTAACTTTTTGAGGAACTTCCATACTGTTCTTCATGATGGTTGTATCAATGCACATTCCACCAACAGTGTACAAGGGCCCCCTTTTCTTTACATCATTGTGAACACTTGTTATCTTTTGTCTTTGGCGTAATAGCCATCCTAACAGGTTGAATGAATATCTCATTGTGGTTTTGATTTACATTTCCCTGATGATTAGTGATGTTGAGTACCTCTTCACATACCTGTAGACCATTTGTATATCTTCTTTGGGAAAATGTCAGTTCAGTGGGTCCTTTGCCCATTATTTAACTGAATTGTTTGTTTTTTTGCTACTGAGTTGTGTGAGTTCTTTTTATATTTTGGATATTAACTCCTTATCAGATGTATAGTTTTTAAATATTTTCTCCTCTTCTGGAGGTTGCTTGTTCACTCTGTTGATGGTTTTCTTTGCTGTGCAGAAACTTGTTAGTTTGATGTAGTCCCACTTACTTCTGCTTCTAATGTCTTTGCTTTTTTTTTTTAAGAGAAAATTGTATTGCCATTAGATTGCCAAATGCTTTTGTAGTCAAATCCAAAAAATCATTGCCAATGTCATGTAGCTTTAATCTGTGGGGTTTTTTGGTAGAAGCTCTATGGTTTTAGGTCCTCTGTTTAAGTCATTAATCAGTTTTGAGTTGATGTTTTTGATATGGTATAAGAGAAGTGTCCAATTTTATTATGTTGCATGTGGATACCCAATTTTTCCAATAACATTATTGAAGAGATTAGCCTTTCCTCACTGTGTATTCTTTATGACTTTGTAAAAACTAGTAGGCCATACATATGTGAGTTTATTTCTGGGCTGTTCCATAGGTCTAATGTGTCTGTTTTTATGCCAGTACCATAATATTTTGATTACTATAGCTTTGTAGTATATTTGAAATCAAGAAGTGTGATGCTTCTAGCTTTGTTCTTTCTCAAGATAGCCTTGGCTATTTGGAGATTTTTGTGGTTCCATGTGAATTTTAGGATTGTTTTCTCTATTTCTGTGAAAAAAAACATTGGAACCCTCAGTTTGTTCCTTATAGTTAAGGGTCTCTTATGGTTTGCCTCCCTCTCTGTTTTTATCTTATTTTATTTTTCCTTCCTTTCCCTATGTTCATCTGATTTGTTTCTTAAAT